GTATATAATCCGCGCTTGTATGCTTGCGTAAATCGCTTTGATTGGAGTTTGTTTGTTTTTTTATATCGAAGATTTTATTATGGAAATTTAGAAATTGAATTATGGATCATTCAACTGTATGATTATGGATTAAATTTTTATGAAACATTTATGATAAAAAAATAAAATAAAAAAATTAAATTAAATTAAATTGGATGACCATAGATAGAGTATACAATAAAATATATAACTGTCTTTCATCCTATGATATTCATAATATTTTAACTTGACATACAAAAAAAATAACCAGTTATTATCCTCATTTTCATCAATTTAAAAATAAATATATATTTTAAAGTCACCCACAAAGTTCACTATTGTAAAAAAAAATCAATGGAGTATATATACAATCGCTTTTAGTTCTATTAAGCAAAATATTTTAAAATAACTATAGGTATTCACCGGATAGTAATTTAGAAACAAACCTGATACCCGAAGCCTTATTTTTAAAGGCTTTCACATCTGTCAGGGCCTTCGCGCAGCCCGATTTTTTGAATAAACAAGGATTAATAAACTGCTCACTTAATGCTCATAGCATTTCATCTATTCATCATATTATTTATATAGATTTAAGGATCCAATAATTTATTAAGTCATATTATTTTAAAGAAAAAAAAGGTTGGGCTAAAAACATTTTTAAAAAAACCAACATCCACACTTGCAGTCGTTGCTACAAAAAAAAATGTATTCGGGCTTGTCGGTTAGATAGGTTCGGCCTTCAACTCAATTGACGGGTCGATTTTCACGCTTTATATTTTTTCCATGTCAAATATATTTCAACTAAGGATGGTGGGAGTCGATGTGGGGGAGGTGTCCCATAATAAGAAAAAACAGCTGATTCTTATTTAGCATGTGTTTATTGATAATCACATGACATGTCAAATTTGATGGGTAATGTGACAAAAAAAAATTACACTTTTAAAAATTTCAACCCACATCTCCCTAGCCCTCAATCCTACTCCTTACTTCAATTTTTTTTATTTTTAAAAAAATTTTTAGCTTATATTTCATCCAATTAAAAAAAAAAATTCCCTCAGATAAAACATTCTTTGAGTTGCCGGCTATCATCAAATTTTTGGCCGGACCCGAGCCAAAAAAAATATTTTGCATCCGAAATTAATCGGAATTTAGAGCTTCGGGCTGTAAAGATCCCCGATCCGGATAAACAAAATGGTTTCGCGCGCATTTTTATTTCTTTCTTCCGTTCCCCCTTTAACAATTTAGAGCTAAGTTAGAAAAATCGATTTTTTTAAAGAAATTAATAATGAATAATTAATTAGACCGATGTGTCTATTTTATTTAAGTATTAATAAATACAAATACGTAAATGACAAAATGACTTAATTACGTTTCCCCTTCTTTGTCACATGCGCAATAAAGGCAATAAAGATATATATATATATAAAAAGATGGAATTCATGTAAAGTTAATGATGATAGATGGAGGAAGAATGCGAAGAAAAATGTCCGCAAAAAAATCAAAGGACGATAATTCTTAAGCAATCAAAAAATAATAATAAAAATAAACTAATGCAAGTAAAGACTTGATATCGGAGAAGCAACCACAAAACTAGCGTAATTCGTTTTTTTTCTAAAGAAAAACTGTTTTTAGTGTTTTTGAATAAAATATCTTCATGAGGAAATCACAAATTTTTTTTTAAAAAAAATTAAATAAATTTTAATTTAGAAATAAAAAAAATTGAATTTTGTGATTTTCAAAGATATTTTTGCTCAAAATTTTAGGAAATAAAGTTTTTTTTCAAAATCTTGGTTAATTTTCATAATAAAGTTAATTCCGCAAAAATTTTTTATTAACAAAGTTATCTTTCTTTGTCTTTAATATAGGTTTAAATTAGAAGTATCGCCCGATACATACCAAATAAAAAAGTTTAGATAAATTTAATTATCTAAATATCTGTAGCAGCGAATCTCTTGCTAATAACATGATAATACTATCTAGACTGGTAATTCATTTTATTTACATGTGCATAAATATATAAATCAGCTGGTAAAACGCCATTTTTGGTTTCAGTGTAAATTTTGAATAAAAATTATATGAAAATTATGTATTTATAAAAATTCAATAGAAACAAAAATGGCGTGTGCCCAACTGAATAAGGGGAAACTTCACAATGTATTTTAATGAATGACGTCAGTCTCATTGTTATCTGCTTATGCTTAGAACCATTTCGGAAATTTAAAATAATTTTTATAAAAAAAAGTTTAAAAGAAATGAATGGAAGAAAAAAGAATTAGAAAATGAGAAAAATAAATGAAAAAAACCGAGAAATAAATAAATAATAAAGTGAAAATATCTAAGCCATGTATATATTTTTTTTTGCCAGTGTCCTAAATATATGGAAAAAAAACCTCAAAATTTATAAATTTTCTCAAATTAATAAAACTTTGAAACATGTCTTAAATCTTCCATTATTATTTTTATTAAAGTTTTGTAAATAAAATAAAGAAAATAGAAAAAAACATCAAAAAAACAAAAAAAGAGAAAAAATTACGTTAATAACAATGTCGCCAAATTAAATACTTTTACTTACTAGTTTTTTTAAATTTAATATTTGTAAATGAGCGAAAAATAATTTAGAAAACTATTATATTTTTTACATTAAAATAAAAATATAGCTTATGTTATTTTATTTTTTTCTTCAAAATTAATAAATTTATTTATTTATATAATTTTTTATATTTAAGACACAACCTTATAATAAAAGTAAAATAAAAATTATTTTATCGCCACACTTAAAAAAGGTAAAATAATAAAAAAAAATCCACTTTAAACTTAGATAAAATTTCAAATATATAAATAATATATAATAATAGAAAATAGTATAAGACGTTATTCTAAATGATAAATGGAAATGAAAGCTTTTCGTTAAAGGCCACGAGAAAATAAGAACTAAAAAAAGAAGAGAAAGAGATAAAAAGGAAATTGAAATGAAAAGAATTAATGGAGAAAAGATTGGGGATTATAACGTAATAGGATTGAATATATTTATATGATTAATATATAAATATATTCAAGTTCAAAAACAAATCGAAATTAAATGATTTTTTTTTTAAGAAAAAAGTCTTGTTTTTTAAAAAAATATAATTTATGGTTCTCTTACAGTATTGCGTTCAAAAATCGATTGCGGATTTATCATTTAATAAAAAAAAAAAAATTCGTCGCATTTTTCTAATATTATATTTAAAAAATTTATAATAAATTAAGTCTAATATTTTGTATAATTGTAAAAAAACCAGCCAGCCAGACATGATTTGACAGGGAATACTAATTTATTAATAAAATTATTGGAGGGGAAATTTTTAAGTTTAATAAAAAAAATATATAATATATTTTAATGGTTAATCGTAATTGAGTGAGAATGAAACTAAAAAATTTGTTTAAGATTATTATATACCATATAAATCAAAAATGTATATTTTTCCACTCCGAAATTGAATCCATAAATAGGAGATCCAAACATGAACAGTAACCGGTGACAATCGGGCCTATCTCTCACTAATGTTGTTAAACGGCTAACTCAATATTTTATATAAAATATATATATATATAATTCATGCCTAAAGATTTAGCTCATAGATGGCACAAAGGTTTGGACATCTATTAGCGAAATCTCAAGGCTTAGCCAATATTATTTTTCTGGCTAAAATCTTGAGTTAGCCTTTTGGAAAATCGGTTCAAATAGTCATTTAACAACACTATCCGTCATGAACCGAAACCATACTAAAATAAATCTAGAGGCCAGAATTATTTGGAGCAAATCATTTCGTGCAATCAATTTTTTTTATAGAATACAAGAATTAAGCCATATAAAGATCGATTTTGCGGTCAGATTTTCTTGGACAAGTGTTTTATCAGAATGGTCACCTAGGACAGTCATTAGATTTCCATCCTTTCCATATCAAAGCCCGGGGCATGGCCTTCAACTAGCCACATAACTATGGAAGGAGGTATGTACTAATTTCATTGCTTACAACTTGTTTTAATGATGAAATCAATATAAATTCCAATTGTTATAACTTCATCCAGATAATATGTAAAATTATCTTTAGAAACATGATTAGAAAAATATCAACTAACTAATTTATGAGGAGAAAAGTTTGGTTTGATTTATATCAAAAAAAATAACTACTATCTTCATCTTAAACAGTTTTACTTACATCTATTAAAATCTATCAATAAATGTTTTCCGGTTATTAAAAATATAAGGTTGAATTGCACTAAAACACTCTTAAAAGATTATTTGGAAAGTCAAATATTATGGGAACACTGTGTTGGAATAAAATTTATTAAACTTAAATTTTAAGGACATTTAAATAACTATGTAGAGATGTAATAAATATTTTGTCATTTTAATTTTTCAAATAATGCAATAGGATTTAGAGCCTTATCTATAGCAGCAAAATTATTGTTGCTTTCACTTTTATTATCCCTGAACCTCATCCCAGATACTCCTAAGATAATAACACTGAAACACCCCCCCCCCTCTTCCACAATGTTCAAAACATAAAATAATTTGATTTGAATAAAAAGATATATCACATCCCTGAGGCAACAAGATTCATTAATGAAATTGAATTTACACCCCCCCCCCCCATGGTTAGGGTACATTAATAGAATCTAGAGGGGAATATATTATCTATATTTTTAGTCAAAAATTTTGTATAATAGGTAACTGGAATTTCTAAAATAAACATTTTACATGTTTAACTTACCACTACAACAAATAATATATGATTGATAATGCACTAATTTTTTTTTCTAGTTAACAATAAATAGATATAACTAAATCTATAAATCAATGTCTATAAAAATATGGGAAAATAAAAGGTTTTAGGGTTATCCAAAATATATTTTGGTCTACTTTTTTAAAATAGATAATCAATAAATAACAACATAGAAAATGTAATATTATAAAAGTATGCATTCAAAATATGAATTACTTCCTAATTTTTGTCTCTTTTTCCTCTTCTATTTTTTGTCTTTGAATAACATTCTGGATTATTTTTTTCTCTTCATCTGTTAAATGACTTAGATCAGGTAATGTTAGATTTATGGGCATTCCCGACATCATTTTTAACATTTTCTTACATAAATACTCAAATATTCATTGCATAAATCCAAAATCGTCAAAAAAAAATCGATTTAAAATTTTAATATCATATGTGAAAAAATTATTTAATATCCACTGATAATATATGTACAATACAGTTAACACATTTTTTTTAAATGATAACTAGAAACATCTCATACTGAGCTGTTTCTCATCTTTGATCGTGATTTCTTGGCTACATATTTATTATTTTTCTATTTTAGTATATTAATTCACAGACTTCTTACAGGAGGTATTGTGTATTCGCTTTTACTTTCAATTCCAACGCGCTATTATACATATTTTTATCGAATTAAGACTTGACATATATGTTAAAATTTGCCAATATTTAGTTTTATTTTCGTTAAATTTGGAGTTATTCTGTTTTTGTATCAGAGTTCATTATTTTTAAAAAAAAATAAAAACCGTTCATATTAAACGGAGTTTTTAAATTATCATTAAATTAATTATGCCGCGATATAATATTTTCTTATATATTCCATATGATCTCTCGATTTGGTGATCCAAAATTAAAAATTATTATTCGCATATTAATAATTTGAGCCTCTCTCTCTCAATTTTATTGCTTTCCTTCAGATTTTTTTATATATTTTTCTCGCATCATTTTTCGAGGTATTCATCATTGCGACTTTACATATCTTATTTCATTCTCTTAATATAAATTTGCCTATTTGCCATGTCAGAACTATTTGGCCGACTCATAACATAACTTATAGAGCTAATATGTCTCCCTATATTATGTTTAACATCATACCGTATTTCTGTGTAATTCTACAATATTTTTACAAACATCCTTTATACATTTTTGAAATTCAAAATCTTTCCTTCATCATTATTACGTTGTAAAATGTTTTTATAAATTCTTCCGTAATTTTGAATTTTTAAACTTAAAGAATTCTTAAGTTTTTTGTTGAGAGAATCTTCATGTAGTTGTAAATTTATATTGTTTAATAAAGGGCTAACGTTAATGACTAAGCCTAAATATGCCTCTTAAATTTAAATTTAAAACTTTATATTTGCTTTTAAAAATATCTTGAGAAAATTTAAAAACATGAAAAAAAGTGTAATTATTTTGATTTGCTCATAAGACGTGAGAAAAACATAAAATGTGAGAAAACATGATTGGGTAAAAAATTTGGCATGAAATCATGAGAATCATTACTATTTGGCAACTCTGATCGTGATGTAATTATAAAAATAATTTATATGAAAATAACTAAAGATAAAAGTGCTCAATTTATTAGATTTGAAGAGACATCAGATTATATTATGTCTTTACTTTCAATTTACAGAATAGGGGATGTAAATGGTATTAACAGTTAATAATTTCCGTGCTTCGATATCGACGGGTGGAAGATAGAACATCCGGATAATTACATAAATTAATAAGGAAATCTGGACCAAATTATTCACGCCTAGTTATTATTATGTAAGCTTATCTAAAAAATGTGAAAACTAATTTTTTCTTATTCCCGATTTAATTAATGCCGAACGATATTTTAAGGAAAAAAGACCCTCAATGTTGAGCATTTTTTAGAGTTACATAGAATTATTTTCTGTAGACATACTGACTTTCTTTATTTAAAAAAACTTCATGACCTTTTTAATAGTAATGTGACTGTAAAAGGACCATTTTTTAAATATCATTATATTTCTGAAAATGAATTCATGTAACTTTAAAGTGGCGATAAATGTTTTTCTAAATTGGGTATCGATATAAAATATTATTAAATCACGTCGAAAGTTGTAGAATACATTAAGATACAAATATACAATATTCTTTGTTGGATCAGTTACATTTTAATGCATTATTTACGAAATTCGATCTGATTTGTGCGTATTCTCAAAAGGCTATTAGAGATTATAATTCTATAATTTGCTATCTCTTTTGGCATTAAGCTATGTTCAAACGTATTTACAAATAATTTTTCTTCCCTGATAAAAAATTTAAACTATCGATCAAATAGAATGAGGTTGAGGTTTATATGATTGATTTTGTTAAAGGATGAGTATATTTTAAAAAAAGGATGTTTACAATATTTATTTTTGTATAAAAATTTTACTAAATAAAAATTTATGACTATATTGTTTTAATGCATTCGGAACAAAAACTTTTGACATTGATCTAAAATTATTTTTTTTAATGAAAATCATTAAGTTGGAATTATATAATAATATTATACCTATTTCTGGATCTCAATTTATAATCATTGTCCGAGATAAAACTTATCGATTATAAGATATTCCAGCACATGGAGGATTCCAATGTAAAATATAGAATTTCGCTAATAACTTTTGTGCTTTTATGAGGTTACGTGGCGTCTGAAATTCATAGGGTAGCTTATAACATGCTGGAATACATTAATAAAATTAGACAATTTTTAAATTTTTAAAAAGCGACATTAAATAATTTAAAATTGAGATTTCGAATTTTTTGGATTCACATAAAGATAATATGTATATTCATGGGCGCCTTTTGAATTTTTCAGTACAATGTAAAAAATTATAATGAAATGCAAGGGAATTTGTTTAAAGAATTTCTAACAAATTAGATTTTTATAGCTTGTCATTTGCGTCATTTAGAAAATTGGCGTGCTTGTTATATATTCAGCTTCTGCTTATCAGTTTACAATATTATACATACTTTTTGCATTTTTATTTTATTTTCTCTTATATTTTTGCTTACTTTTAATATATTTTATGTGGTTTAATGTTTTTATAATTTATTTTTTACAATTTTTGTGTAGTGTAGATTTTTTCTTGTATTTTTTTACGTCTTTTTATGATATTAATTACCACATAAATATTATAGTAATAATTTATATCTACAATAAGCTTTATAAAAAAAATCGAAATTAACCAGTCATCCTATTAATAGTAAAAATATTATAAATTTATATTAAATTCTAGTTGCAATCTGACTTTTGTAAAAATTGAAATAATTTCTAAAGGAAATTTATGATTCAATTGCCATTCATACTAAAAATGCATAATGAAACTAACCTACCAGGATGCATTGTTGACAAAAAATAGTTTTTATATATAACTTATTTCTATTATACACATCTCTTTCTGTAGTGCCGAGTCAATTAAGAATGCCAGTATTTTTTACATATGTTCTAATGCCAAATATTTGCTTATACCTGCGAATTGATATATTATATATAACCGTTACTTTTGAAACCATTTTACAAAACTCATTCTGTTATAACTTTATTGATGAGGCTAAAATTAAAGTAAAGATTCTATGGTTCATTATATTTCCACATATCGTATTTCGAGTGATGTAACTATATTTAATTTGCAAATAACATAATAATTATTAAAGAATAATAAAATAAATATTATAATATATATTTTAAAAAAAAAATCAGTTCACAATTTATTCGTATAGCGTTAACAACCATACCACTTTCAATGATGATGTCACCATAATTGAAGTACCTGCAATTAATAAATTAATAACTATGCATTCGCTATAGCGTAAACGACCATAAATAAGTTAGTCTTGTAAAGCTTCTTTTGTAATCAGCAACTGATTCACATTATTTGCTAATTTGTATGACATAGGAATTCAATCTTTTTGAATAAAAAATGATTTAAAATTTAATTATGAGTATCGATTGATTTCCCGGTAATTAATATATCTCCTAAATTAACCGATATATCTAGCAATCTTCGCTTTGAAATATGGCCGGCTACCCCTAACGGAATAATGGTCGGTCAGCCACAAATTCGCAGGGATCCATTCTTTTTTAGTTTAAGTAAAATAATTGGAGAGATAATTTTCTAAAATTTTAGTGTTTCTAACACTCTAATAAATTATGGTTACCTTAGTTCAGTTTCTAATTTGGGAGTCTCTAAGCAAATGGTATTGGTCTGCTTTTAACACATTCAAATTTGGGGTTGAGTTTCACAGTTAAACTTGCTTTAAAATAATTTAGCAATCATAATATAGTGAAATTTTTTTCACATTCATTAGCTTTCATTTTTGATTTATTTATATATTTGACTTATGGATTTTTCTTCCTCCTGTGATGAATTGCAAAAGTAGAAACCTTCCTAAAATATAATGTTTTTCTTGGAATATTTTTAATAATTAGATCACCTCATGATATGTCTTTGGAATTTTATGTAAGAATAAAGTAAAAATTGGAAGAAAATTCTATTCCTAAGTGTGACAAAATAAAAGCCTTTTGTAATTTTATTAAAGGTAAAAATAAAAATAAACTCCATGAGAAAGATAGATGTTAATATCTTATTTCTATAAGATTGTGTCATCATTAACTATTTGAGTTTTAATATAATTTCGAATGTAATTTGAATTATACTATTTGGTTTACAGAATACCCTTTAATAAATAATAATAAATAGTATTTGAATGATTGCACGAAACATTGATAACAAGTAAATAATACAATTTGTAAGATTATTAAATTGAATATGTAAAAGAAAAAATATATATATAAGAAATATAAATATGTTACATTTAATAATATTAAAATGAATATCTAAAAAGCATATAATATATATAAAATATATTGCATTAATAAAGAGTTATATAATAGATGATACTATTAGGGTTAAGCAGCTATGGGTAAAACCGTTTAATTTTTTAAGCTGTAGAAAACGAGTTATGGGAAAAGCGTTTATTTAAAAGAAATTATTGAGCAAGAAGGTTTTTTAATAAAAAGTATTCGTGTAATTAAATGTAACCTATGAAAATTTTAAGTGAAAAATAATAAAAATATACGATGTACCCAAATTTGATCATTATATGACCTCATGTATTGATGGGTTTTTTATCAAAAAAGTATTTAAAAATCATGTATTTTGTTCAATAAAACAATAAAGTTCGCCTATTTTATTTTAAGGTGCTTAGCCATTTCACATAGCATAGGGTTAATGGCGATAACAGCTTACTCAAATAATCAAAGCTCCCATAGTCGTTTATAAGAAATTATAAATTCCTTCAGGCGTTGAATATCTTCGAGTCATACCTATTGAAAACGGTTGCACCATCTTTAAGAATTGTTATCATTTATTAAAATTTATTTCAAAAATTATAGTTTATGATGTATAACTATGACAACATTATTTAAACATTTTTTTTGAAATTTCATCACATAAATTTTGTTTTGCTTCAAATTAATTGCTTGGAATGTCGAATCCATCAGATTTTAATGAAATATTTAGTGAAGATTTTGAAATTTTATTCGGACAAATCCTTGATTTGATAATTAAACTTTTGTCAGGTGTTAAATGTGGTTTAACATTAGAAATGGTGCAGGGCCAGTTAGTCATGGTAACTAAACAAGAAGTATTTTCAGAAAATTTGCTAGTAGAAAAACTATTGCGAAATTTATTCTATCAGGGAAAAATTGGCATAAAAGGAAAAGGTAATTTTCTGATTTATTATATAAAGATAAAAATCCATTAGTTTAATTATTATTTCCTATATATTAATTTATATTATTATCGAAAAAAGATAATGTATATTGTATAGTCCAAAAATGAGCATGTATAAAAATATAATAAGACACATGGCCTCTGCCACAAAATAAAATCGGAATAGATAATTTTGCCTGTCAATATAAACACACTTTTAAAACATATGTTAAACCTAAATTACATTGAGTTAACAGCCGTTTGTGGAACCTTATATCGCGACTTTTATTAATTTTGCTCAGTTTGTGCAGGGACTAAATTAAGGAAATAAAGGTTATACCGATAAGATTCCCCTTAGGAGGGTTTAAGTCCTCTGCTTTAAATTAAAAAATGTATTTTTGTCATGTATGCACCTTAATTTTGGGTGTCAATGTTAGTTATAACATAAGGCAGCTTTAAACGAATTGGTATTTATTTATTCATCTGACTCAATAAGAGCTTGGCTAGCCAATTCTATAGCCCTTGATTTAAATCTAGAAAGAATCATATTTTTTCCTGGATCAAACTTGGTGGTTCGGTTCTAAAAGATAGGGGGGGGGTGTGTAATATATAGTAGTTTAAAGGAAACGTGGTGATTCCACCACTTAATATATATTTTAAAAAAAATTTTATTGCATTAAAAAAAAATAATCGGTCATTGTTTAGAAAATTAGGTTGTTAATATCTCGACTTGGTAATATTTAGGATTTACAGCTTTCGAGCCTATAATAAAAGATTGAAGGTTATTGCCTATCATTTTGTTAGAAAGCAAGCATTTATCTAAATTTTATAAACATGCTGACTATTGATAAGATAATAAAATAAATATTTTTATTTCTAACACGGAATTATCATGTTGTTTTAAAAGAAACTGTAATCTTAAGTGTTTTAGTTATAAATTACTAAATTCTGTTAGAAAAACACATGTTATTATAACAAAGACATTATTCTTCAATTGTATTTTTTAGTGATATCCACTTTGGAATTTATATTCAAAGGACGTGGGTTAAATTCCCATCCTAGGACAATTTTTTTTTGAAATTTTAGCCTAAGAGGTTTAGGATTATAAAATTCGGGTCAGTTTATGTTTAAAAATAATGATTTAATAAAATTTGAAAGTCGTTAAAAGTATTCTTTCTAATATAAAACATTCTTCATACATCAATAGACGCGAAAAAAATCAGCTTTTAAAGCGCAAATAAATTTTGATTTTTAGGACACTTATTTTGAATCGATAAAAATTATCATTTAACATAAGTTTTCATGCGAAAAAAGTCACATGTAAATTAAAATCTTGCGGGATCTTTAACTTAATATATTTATTAAAAAAAATGTTCAAAACCAAATAATATACATTTAAGCAGAAATGCAATTCAACCCAAAATTATTAGGCATCTACACCGAATATTTTTATATAGTATAGACCAAATTATATCCAACTGACCAAATGTCAGTAATATTTTTACTTGTAGTAGATGTAGAAATTGGAAATCCAGATATTAGGAAGTAATTTCAAAAAAAATTTCGAAATTGTTTGACGAACGTGATATAAATTTAAAAATCTGCTAGATGATGTTTTACACATGCGCATGCCAAATTAAACAATTCTTTCTCTTACATGTTTCAGCTTCAACATTAAGATGGAAAAAGATGGAAAATTATACAGATATTGTCAGATACAAGATAGGAAAATCAAGTTAACGTTCTAAATACAAAAATATAAAAATAATAATATATTATGTATATTATAGAATATAAAAAGAGCTTTTATGTTATCAAACAAATTATAAAATATTTCAACAAAAGCGCTGTAACAACAGGATTAAAAGTAATTTAACGAATAAAAACACTGGCAAATAGAACATTTAAATGTTGCGCGTCGACTTCAATTTATCAGATTTTATCAAGTCACTTTGTAAAATTTTGAATAGGGACAAAGGTTCAAAGAAATATCCAGCACTTTTTTTGGTTAAGTTGCTTTCATATACTTTCCTAAATATTTTGTTAAGGATGCCGCTTCCAAAGTCAAAAATTTTTCAAAATAAAATGATTCTCGATTTAAACATTATGTGCCCAAACTCAAATAAAATTTTGACTTTGTCAGACCTAAGTGTTTACGAGTAGACATAATTTTGCCAGAGATTTATTTTATATTTTATTAATATAATATACATTAATAATATTAAAGATTATAAATTTATAAGATAAATCAAGAGAGTCGACACAAAATATAACTAAGCATATTAAAATAATGTTTGTAATAAACTTTAAAAATGCTAGGATTTAGAAATAGTGGATCCAAAAATTATTTAAAAAATTACATATTGATTTTAGAACTAAATAAACAGAAGTCAGAGTCTGCTGGTATAAATTCATTTTCTAATATTATGGAAGAATCAGAATTAATGACATTAGAGGGTGACAAAGATTTATCCCTGATGCAATAAATTAAAAACCATAGCCCAATTTGAATATTATTTTTTAAGTAAAAAAAACTTATTGTCAAAAGATAACAAGTATCCGTGTCCAGCCTACACCTCTAGTATAAAAAAAATAATATAATGTTAGTTAACATTTTATACATAACTCACCTTTTCACACATTTTTATCACTAGTTGTATGTCATATATACACATTCTTATAGACTTAACCGCTAATATTTAATTATTTTATAATATTTTTGGCACGTTTACTTGTTTTTTTATAAATATTTAGATGTAACAAAGACGTAATATAATTTTTTTAGATCTTTTATTGTGTTGAATAAATATATTTTCAAAATCATAGCTCCGCAAATTAATTATATATATATATCCTCTATGAATGAATAGATTTATTGAAAAATTTTTTTTTTATTTATTGCTAGTTAATTTATGTATACAATTATATTTATTTATATATTAATTTGAGCTTAGTTTAAAGAACTATTCTAAATGATTGAAAGTGTTCGAATTCTTGTTAGTTATTGATCCAGTTAGGTAACTTAATCTAAATATTTATTTTGAAGTTTTTAAATTCCAAGTTAATTTTATTAGATTAATGTATATCTAAAATTATCCAGAAGAAATCTTATTTATTAAATCTACCTTAAATTAAATACAAGATCCCTTATAAAATACATTTAACAAAGGAACAATACTAATATACACTTATAATATGAATATAATTAACAAAATCTAAAAAATAGGTTTTATATTATGTCAATAAATGATGATCATTATGTCATTGAGATAATTTTAATGATTATAAAAAACTGCTTATTTTATGCAAAATGATATGCGAATTTAAAGTAAATGATATATAATCCTCTCTACTTCTTTAAGATTTTGTTTATTTTGAGAACATCCAAAAATATGAATTAAAAAAAATAAAATAATAATTCAGTATATTTCTAAACACGATGAGGTTTTACACAAATAAATAAATTTTACTAAGATATTTACGCCCAAACGTAGTAATAGGATTGAATAATAGCTTCTTTCCAGTTCCAGTGCCCAGAAATTAAAATGGCTTTTTAAAATTAAAACATGAAAAATTTTGTGATCGTCTATTAGCCAATGTTTAAGATTGTTGCCAGCAAAAAATATTTATATATTGTTGCTTTTTTTATTTATTAAAATATATTATTTAAAGAGGTTGAAAGTTTAATTGTAAATATAATGAGAAATAAAGCCTTCTTTGAAAAAACATATAATTTAATATTTATTAATTCTCTAAGTTATCATTATTGAGGTTAAGTTTATGTTAATAAGTAATTCATATTTAATTTATATTAAATTAAGGTCTTGAAAAAAGATATGTAATATCCGCTGTTTCTATTCCCTCCATGCCAAATAGATTACACCACCAACATAAAGAGTACATCTTACACCATCATTTACAGAAAAATAAACCAGCTTAATGTATAATATTATAATGTTTTATTTATAAATCTTAACAAATCTTATACTATTTTCAATCTTTCATATTTTCAAATAAATAGATTAAAAAACAATTTTGATTTTTAATAATAATTTCAAAAAATAATAAAACGAGATTTCATTTTGTTAAATCAACAGCCTTTTATCCGCAATCAAGTAAAATGAGTTTTATATGAATTAACTATAACTTATTCCATTAGCTTATCTTTTTACATAACGATGGTTGCTCAAAAAAAGACAGTAAATCTCATAATTTTTATTGCACATTCTATTATACCATATTTTAAAGAAAAAAGCAATTGAAAATATCAATTCTAGACTTGCTCTAGTAATGAAAAGTGGAAAATGTGCTTTAGGATATCAACAAACACTAAAAGCATTAAGAAATGGCAAGGCCAAATTAATTATAATCGCTAACAACACACCCCAACTAAGGTATAGATCATTAATAATATTAAATAAGTGTTTATATAGGAAAAGTGAAGCTGAATATTATGCTATGTTAGCCAAAACAGGTGTACACCATTATAGTGGAAGTAATATTGATCTTGGAACTGCTTGTGGTAAATATTATAGGGTTGGAATGCTTAGTATAATTGAACCAGGTAAATTTGTTTACAAAAAATATATTTAATTTATTAATATTATAGGAGATTCAGACATAATCAAAACACTTCCATCAGAAGGCCAATAATGTTTATTATGTAGTTTATAAAATATATAAATTTTATTTAATAAAAGACATAAACATCACATTCATATATTCATTTTATTATTCTTCTGATATTACAATTTTATCAACAACTTTCGTTTTATTTTTGTTGTATTTCATAACATTGGCTTCCCTAAAACAAAAAAGGTTTAAATAATGGAAAATTGTTGCTAAAATATCAAAAAAAAGTTATCAGGCCCCCTTAAATAAAAATATGGTTAAAACATATGTAAAATTTTTAAAACTATAATTAATTTCCTTAAATTTTGGGAAAAAGTTTTGGGCACAACCTAAAATAATATTTGAACTGCATTAACTGCAAATCTATAGTATAAACTAATTTCTATTTAGGTTATCATATTAATAAATAAATACAAATATTGCATTTAAGCTTTGAAATATAGAAATGTAAAAGATAATAATTAAAAATTTGTAGGCAGTAGAGGTTGACATAAACTAGCCTATAAAATTTTTATTCAACCCATCTTCTAATAATTATTTTTTATGAGATAAATAGTGTAAAATTTTTGTGTGCATTATCAATATTTTTACTCTTATAAAACTGAAATTGTTCTTACTACTTTTTTATATGTAGATATGATTTAATGAAAGCAAACTGCCAAAAAGATGATATACCTATAAATTAAAGAGAAATTCAAAGTATTGAAAACTATTGCTTCTAATACTAGTCACAAATTGTATATCATTTTGAAGCCCAAAATAGTAAAATATTCAGTGATTGTTTATTTTATGGAATGTAAAAAAAATAGTTAAGGAGAGGTTTTTTAGATGCTGAAACTCGGTTGGAATCATTACCTTTATATTTAATTGATAGTGACCTTTATTATTAATTTCAATATATAATATAGATGGAGCTATTTCCATAAATACCTATCCTTAACCAACATTTATTATCGATAACTAATGCTAATTTTTAAAGATATTATTGTAAAGACTGATTTCTGCTTGATCAAACTCCAACAAAATAAAATAATTTGTAAAAATTTTGTGTTATTTACAATATAAATATTAGAGACCTGCAGATTTGGGTACATGGATTCCTAAAAATTGTTTTAAAAAAATGCTTGAGCTGGATCTAAAAAATTTTTAAAAAAATATTCTCACTAAGCCAAATATTTTGAATAGCCATTATTTTTAAAATGTACATGTAAAGAATATATCACATTTATTCACTAATATTTCTTCTAAATTTATTATTCGACTAATCAATATTTTAGATGATCAATCTAATTAAAATTAACAAAAGATGCATTCAATATTTAAAATATACATTTTTTTAAAATAACAGTGGTAGATCCTGTAACAGCAAAATTTATCATCTCATGATATTTTATCAATATATGTCAGCTTGTTGGTCCAAGTGGTATTTAATTTTTTTTAAATACTTGGGCCCAAATATTTTTTTTAAAAAATACCTTAACTGTGCCATTTAATTTTATGAAAAATTCGGTCTAGGCCTGAAAATATAAAACCTTGGAGGGTTGGGTCCTAGAGAGTTTCAGCACCTAAAAAAATTAAATTCTCAAACTTTAATTTTGCCTAAATAAGCATCATGCCTGGTTTAGCTCATGTTAAAGTGATCATCCAAATAATATATTCAAATTTGAAAATTCGATTGCTTTATAATTATTTTTAACCTAAATTATAAAAGGAGCTATTGTTAATTCTGTGTAATATGACTAAAATTAGATCAATAACGATACTCTTTATCAGCTAAGACGACCAAACCACAAAGTTTTTAACGATTCCATATTTAGGTGGAGGTTATATTTTATCCCAAAAAAATATTATGCAAGCCTTATGATTTTGCTCATAGGTAGCACAAATTTGGACATTAGCTAAATCTCGAGGCTTAGGAAATATTTTTATGGTAAAACATTGAGTCAGCCGTTTTTAAAAATCGCCTCAAATCGAGCCATTATACAGAAATACGAATTTCAGAATAAAATAATCGTATTATTCATATGAATCGAATAAAGGTAGTAGTATTCACATGCGTCGATTTGTATTACTCTTTAATCGAAAATTAGTTTTTAGAAAAAACTATCAAAAGTGAAGATAAGAGGATTATTTTAAAGATACAATTAAAAAATTAGAAATTCTAGGGAATAAAAATTTAAAAAATAAAAGTTAATTATTCAATGGGTATTGATTACTCAATCAACATCAAAATATTAGTATTGTTGCATCTCTGAAATATTTTATATTCTTAATCTATTGCTTTTTTAATCTAATTTAAATCGAAGCTAAAGTTCCCTACATGATTTTTTTCGCTAAGGATGTAAAGTATTTAAATTATAGATAACGGCTTAAATTTTTTACCTTGTCAAGAATTTTTTAAAAAGATTTTTTGGTCTGTCCAATTAAGATTTTCGAATGTTCCAAAAAATATTTTTGAATAATTTGCCTAGCCCAATTTTTTTTAAAAGTTCTACACCATCCGTAATTATTTTTTTGTAGAGAAAAAAATAAATAAATTTGTATTATTAATGGTAGTAATCTGTAAAATTGATTTTTTTCAGTTCAAGCTTATCAGCAGCTATGTTTTAACTCTAAACCTAGTCAGCTTCCACGGAGTCGAATTAAAAAGTGTCCAAAAAGAAGAAAACTCATTATGCATTATTAAATTTAAATATTCAGCGATAACTTTGATAATTTAATGATATTTGTTTATTCTATTTATCATAAAAAAATGTATATAGAATGATTCCTACACATTTTTTATCACCTGTTTTTTTTTTAAATTTTTTTATTTATATAGTAGTGATATGCAATCAGGCTAAAAAAAGGAAAAATACGAAACAGTAATATTTTTTTTGGGTAATGGGCTGGGCCAATATTATTTATATGAATTCAAAATTTAGATCAATCCTAATTAACATGCACTAACCCATCAGGCTAATTTGCTGATGATGTAAGGCTGACCGACAGGACTATATTTCATATTTCGTTTTGGCTTATGATCTACTTATCAAGGCCAGGAACATGCAAATTTTACAATAAAATGTGTAATTACTTTTTTAAAACAATAATGTTAAATACGTAAACTTAGTGTTGATAAATTACAACATTTGAGCTAATGACTCCCATATGATTCATCAGTTCTTTGTAATATTATTGTCTCAACCTTGAAGATAGCGCCGGGGGGGAATAAAATCTAGCATATTCGTTTATTTTTGTGGACAAAAATTTATAAAATGTGATTCCTAACTTTTTCAACTGGGCTTGTTTAATCTCCAAGAGCTCCCGTTTAGCTTTGTAGAGAGGTTTAGGTATGTGTCGATGCCGATTGATCCTGCTAATTTCTGGGTGATTCTCATATTTCTCTTTCAATTTTTGGTTGTAATTGAAGGCGTTTCTTTCTCGCGTTTTAAGCTAAAATAATATTTACAATTTTTGGTAAGGTTGGAGAAAAAATAATCAAAAACAATTTATTATTTTTTTAAATCCATGGTTAGAGTAGCAGGAACGCTGCTGCTTTTACTTTTATTGTCCCTCAACCTCAAACTATCAATGTATTTTCGATGTCAAAAGTGCTGGTCAACAATTTTCTTAATTTTTAATTAAATAAACGAAACTTATTGGGATTCAAGCATAATTTAGAAGTAAAGTTGAGTTGTAGATTTGAATATAACTGTAACTAATTACTTATGAAAAGTATCTAACTACTCGAAACCCAAATAAAATTATCTAATTAGTTATGAAAAGTATCTTTAACACTTGAAATTCCCAAACAAAATTTATACATGTTTCGAAAGCATATTTGACCTAACATTTATAAAAAAATTATTTGTAGTCCCCCTCCCTCTCCTACAATAACAATATTATTAATTAATCCTAGAATAAATTCTTTCAGAAAAAAACAAAACATTGAAATAATTTAAAAAAAAACAAAGCTGGTTCTTTTGTGTTTTGGGGATTTCCTTCCCTAAAGCATTAAAATAATAAATTAAAAAATTATACGTTTCCTAGTTTTTCCCATGCTGTGGCCTTCCATATTCTTATGTTCATCTCATCGGAACCGGAAAATATGTATTTGTTATCGGACGACCATTTCACGCAGAATATTCGCTGCATTCTTTGAGCATGGTATATCTCCCTATTCAAATAACATTTGTAAAAAAATGGAAGCAACTGTTTTTATATCATAGTCCCCTTCCAAATATCGTTTCTATTTTAGAAAGTGCACCTTAGTCAAAGAAGGGATTATACTCAATCTCTAATTGATTCTTATCTGTTTTTCTTCCTAGCTTTAATTCGGGTTTTGGGAACTGGACTATAAAAAAGATCTAGCTCCATCTGGATAGTTTTTTAAGAGATTGATTTGGGATTCATAGGTTCCATTCTGGTTCCATAAACTCTGTAAATAAGCAATGAAACCATTTTCCGATCTACAGATATTTTTAATGTTACCCGATACAAATGGCCGGTATCAAAAAGTTGTAATTTTTTTAAATATCTATTTTTAAAAAGATTTTAATTTTATAAGGATTTTGTAAAGATGGATATTTATATCTGAGATAAAAATATAACAGAAACATTGTATACATTTAAAAAAAGCATAAAATGAATGCATATAAAAAATATTTTTAAAAGTAGTGACTAAAAAAAAGAAACTAAATAAATCAATTTTAAAAAAAGATATGATGTCACCCAGAAAAGGTGATGCTTAGGAAGTTAGAATGACAGATTTCTGAAAGGATCATTTAGATAAAACCCATAGTTTGGATTTTTTGGTGTCAACAATTATTTTTCCTCCATGTATTTAGTTAATTTCCAAGGTGTTGGTAACGATGAGCATAGAAATTTCGGAGATCGTAGGATGTTTTTTTTAAGGTTTCGGCGTGGACTAAGTATAAATTATTCGATTTCGCTGAGAAATAAATAAATTTTAAAAAAAATATTGCCCCTCCCCCCATCTAAAGCAAATTTCTGGCGACGAGCTAGCTAATATTAAATTATTGTTTTTTGATACCTATATCAATATTATCAGCCGATACTGTGTTTGCATCGAAACTAACTAAAAAAAGTGGTATAGGCGCGTCTCTGATTATACTTGTATCAATTTTGTTAGAACCTGTACCGATCTCTGGAAATTTTAATTGGTTCTGGTTCCAATTTCTATATTTTTTGAGGTTAGTGTTTATATCTATTTTAAAATCCTTATTTATAACCTAAAGGGAGGGGGAAAGGTTATTATCAACGAGGAAATTGTTATTTATTAAATTTAGCTTTCTTATTTTTTTTATCAATTTAAAAATAATAAACCTGCTATTTCCCTTATCAACGGGGAATATCCGAAGGGTTTTATCAAAACTGGCCGTAACTATTTCTTTTCCGCTCGGGGCGTAGTCGACATCGAGCACCGCCTGCGTGTGTCCGGCGTGCATGACTCGGGGTTTCGTGAGCATTCGCACGTCTAACGTGTACGCATTGTAATCCTCGTTGGCACAAGTTAGGGTCCAACTTTCAATGGGATTCCAACATAAGGAATTGGTTTTCAGTTTTAAGGTTATCTTTTTTATATATATTAAGAAAAAGGGACAAATAAATAACATAATACGGTTAATAATTAATCAGATATAACTGGGTAATGGCTAAAAATTAAATCTACAAACCCATACCGAAAAAAAATCGACAAAGTATCGATGCTCAAGTTCCTTTATTTCCGCTTCTTTCGAGGTTGATACGTAGAGGCTGGTGATAGTTTTTAGCTAAAAAACGCTGAAGATTTTATGAAAAACAAATAAATGAATGAATGATTAAATATTATTTGCACAAAGTATAGTGTCTCACTCCGACCCATCATCGAATGCTTCATTAGAATAATCTCCCAGCCAAAGTTATTCTGAGATCTAAATCGGGCTATAGAATGTTTGCAGAATTGCTGGTAAAAAAAATCTCGGTCTTCTCCTAACTGAACGACTATAGTTGGGCAAATATTATATTTTTAGCTGTTTAAATCCTATTTTTTAGACGGCTAAAAAATAGGCTAAATCAAGTTTTTAGCCGAAAACAATCACTTTGGCCTCGGAATTATTTCTTAAAAAGATAGCAGCTTAAATTTAAAAGAAAGTAATATAAATCAAAACGCCTTCTCCGGTAGGGTCTGAAGATTGAGCCGAATTAGACGACATTTAGCCATTACTCCAACTATACTAACGACGAATTATATATTAGTCTTCAACTCCCTCTTGGGTTGGATATATCGCTTATTTCAGAGTGTACTAATTGTTCCCTACCTACAGAATTAAAAAGGGCATCAAAGCTAATATTCCCAAATATCCTTTGAGCCAAATCATTTATGTTTAAGCAACAACTTAAGACCCGCTGGTGTCAGCCTAATACCTTCATCTTCGGGTCCCCAGGTTGATACATGCATATTTATCTTCAGGAAGATCCAATTGCCTTTGCGATTTGCAGAGCCGAACTATTGGCGCGGACATCGCCAATGCAATACTTATCCCATTTGCCACCAATACTCTTGGTGGTTTTTGATGAGTAATTCTTTAAATTCATCACATTATTAGACAGAAAATTAAGTGAAATAATTGGCGATCATAATGAAGCATTCTGCACTAAAGAAGGACTTTACTATGCCCATTCATCAAAACAATCGCATTGCTATCCATAGTTCCATGTCTCAGCGCAAACAAATACCTCTCACTCTTTTTTAAAAATTGTTTTATTTAATTTCTCTCTCTTTTTTTTAAAAAATTTCTTCATACTCGTCATATGTTCAATATTTGCGTAATCGTGATTTTTATACTTTTAAATATATTGCATATATACTTTTGTTTCAGCTTAGATAATTTTTTTTAAAAAAAAATATTAAGCATTTTAAATATTTAAAATAAAAAAAATTTATATTAAAAAAAAATAAAATAAACACAAAAGAGTAGCGTTGTTTAACGGCTCGTTTTTAAACCCATTTTTTAAAATGGCTAACCCAATATTTTATCCAGAAAAATATAGTCGAAACTTCGAGATTTAACTAACAGCTGTCAAGACCTTTGTGCCATCTCTGAGCAAAATCTTCAGGTCTGCGTAATATTATTCTGGATAAAATATTGAGATAGCCGTTTTTAAAAAAAATCGGCTCAAATCGAGCCGTTTAACAACACCACAAAAAAAAAGTATAACTTAGAAATAGAAATGCACCTTTTTTATATACGTTGGTTTTCTGACATCGTAGAGCGTTATATTTCTATCGGAAGCTGCTGAAGCTAATATGTCTGTCTAAATATATATAATATACCGATAAATTGTTTCAAAAAAAATAATATCTTGTTTATAAATTAGCGAGGCGCACCAATAAAGCAAATTTAAAGTTGGCATTTGTATTGATACCAATGATTAAGTTTAACCACAGTGATACTGGAAACCTGATTGCTCCACATGGAAAAAAAGTCGGTTTTAATACTTTCCCAGTGATGAGAAACTTCGAATTTCTTAGTCAACCTAGAACGATTCCATGATTATAAATCGGCGTCGGCGTTTCTTTCTATTTTCCGCCGGTGCTTGTCGGTGATGCGGGCCGCCGCATAATAAATTGACAGCGATGGCGACTAATTTCATAAGATTTATTTGTGCTAGGCAGAGTTGTTAAAGGATCTAGATACTTTATCTAGATATAAAAATGTTGTATCTGTATCTGTATCTAAATAGATTTTTGATTAAAATATCTGTATCTAGATATTATTTTAGACGATGTATCTGTATCTAGATCCATTTAAAAAGTATCTTTTAACAACTCTGGTGCTAGGTTGAAATCTTTTCCGTGTTCAACCCCATTATAAATTTTTTTAATAGATTTATGATAACATTGTATTCAGCCACAAAATATTCTTAGTATAATATTTTAACATATTTTATAAATTTTGAATGTAAACAAAATATTTAAGCAATTTAATATATAAATAAGTTAAAAAATCAAAATTTTAGCTATATGATGATTGTCGTAATATATTCCATTTTATAAAGATTGGTAGGAGATAGATGTCCTTTGGCGTTATGTATTAATCCAGCAATAGAAAAATATATTCATTAGCTAAGTGTACTTATTTAGGTATGTAAATATCTAGCTAAATTAGCAGTTTCGGGAATTCCAGTCCATTTTCGTCAGAAGAATAGTGCGACTTGTTCTGGTACAGTATGTTGACCAAGTAACATTTCTGCCCTAAATTGTTCTGCTATTCGAATCTTTACATATGGCGGAATGCTTTCGAGCTATTTTTGCATTTCATGTGGTCGATGTTTGAGCCTTATCAAGAATTTATTCTTTTCTGCAATTTTGGTCATGTCAATAAATTTTAGATGCTTAATTAAAAATTGAGGTGGCGTATAATTTGTGTAAAAATATTCAAAAATAAATCTTGGTTCCTGTTAATTTACATAATAGTATAAAAATAAAATTAAAATATATTACTGCGTAAATAAAGTATGGGTATCAGATTCTTTAACTTTTTTCGCCATTTTTAAACAGGGTTAACAAAAAAAATATAATCGTACATTATGGCGTTTTTCCTATCTTCTCTCTTAAAAGATTAATTTATCGAAGTATCTCCATATACACATATAACTGGTTTTATTATTATTAGAGAATGTTTTGCAGTTATAAACAGGATATTTTTATCTATTTGAGCCTATTAAAAATGACTGGAAATGAAAATAATATAGCATGGAAAAATTTACTTAATTAATATTCATGTGCAAATAAAATAATAACTTAATATATAAATTAACATTGTTTAAAATTTCCTTGTAATTCTTTACTATTTTTAATGGGTAATTTAATTTTTTTTTGAGTAGCAAGTAATGTGTGGTTAAAATATTGAAGCTTAAGTGCAAAATTAGGAAATAATTTCAACTGTTGGAAATTGCCTTTATCTCAGCTAATTTATTAGTTGAAACAACGATCTGTTAGATTTGACTGGTTGTTAATAAAATAGTATTTAACTACCCTCCTTGAGCTGAACAATTATCCAAAATTAAATTAATTTATTATATATATATATTTTTTAAGAAAAATTAAATATTAAGGCAAGTTTTTAAATCAAATCAAAAGATTATAATATTTAATCTTATAAATTAATTAAAATTTTAATTTATACATAATTATTTAAAAAAATTATAGCTTAACTAAATTCAAAAAAATATATAATTATACAAATTTAATCAAAAATTAGTTAAATTTTCAAATAGTAAAAATAATTTTAATTTTTTAAGTATTTTTAATGAGTTTCCATAAAAAATGTTATTTAGTTAATATAATAGTACCCTTTCATCATTCAGCACAAATTAAACATGTCTTTAGTACAATAAAAGCTGTTTTAAGTGCTAAATTACTGTTTATCATGTTAACATTTTGAAAAGCATTTGTTGGTACAAGAATAAATTAAATTTAAAAAAAAACAATTGGCATCAGGTCAATACTTAGCCTTAGTAATGGCATACTAGCCCCCATCAGTCAAAAAAATATATATTGGTGCACCTCTAGTTTATAAACATTATACCTCAACAGGATTAAATTTAATGCAGTTTGAACTGTCTATTGAAGAGGTATATGTCTTAATAGGTTCTGTTCTATTAATATCCCATATGTTAACTTCTTCTCCGGATGTTGCAAACAAAGGATTGGATAAGTGATGATCACACCCATATATGATTTTCTAAATATATTTAAATGGTAAAAATATCAACAACAAAATAGCATATAAGTGAATTATATTTTTATAAAATATAAATGCTATACCTCAGAAACTATCATGCTCTGTGGTTTGATATTTTTTTGAAATAGTATATTATTCAGACTCCATAATTTTATTGTCTTGTCATCACCACAGGATAAAAAATAATTGCCAGAATTAGGTAAACATATCCCTCTAACAAACCCATTGTGTGCTGGGATGGAATGAAGAGGTGATTTGGTATTTAAATTCCACATTTTAATTTCGCCATCACAAGCTCCAGAAAAAAACCAGGATAATGTAGTTGGATGTTTGGCCATACAATATATTCCATCGGAATGTCCACTTAATGCACCCATAAAAGGCTTGGCAAATACTCTCTCAAGTTTTATTGCATTCAAAGCTTGCATATATTCTCGTTCTGCCTCAAAAGGATGCAAATAAGTATCATAATTTCTAAAAACTTAAAACGCGATATTATATTTGTATGGGGTTTATATATTTACCTTTATTAATGTCTCTCTTAGTTTCTCTTAAGTAATTGTCAGGATTTCTTGTTAAAACTTTAATTTTCATGCTTTTTTTCAAATATGAATGAATGCTTATAAATATCGTCATATGGATTTATCTTATTCAAAGCAGCATCCTAGTCTTTTTGAACGCTGGAGAATGGACGAGAGGGTGGACAAGCTGTTCTGCCCAAATGGTAGGGCTTAGGATATGTCAGGATCTATAGGAGGGGATATATTATTAATGATAATTGGAACAGATAGACTAGATAAGATAAAGGAGAAAGCTGTGTTGGATACCAATACCCATAGGCGTAGTCAAGATTTTGCTAAGCGGGGAAAGGGGAGGGGGAATTAAAAAAATTCTTGGGGGCTTCGCCCCCAGATCTAGGTAAAATTATACTTATACAGACATATTTGACATATAGATAATATCTTACAGTTAATATTTTAACAAAATTTACTAATCAATGCTTGATAATAAATATAGCAACAATTTACATTTAATTGTTTAACGACATCTATTTATTTTAAATAAAAAATGATATCAAAAAATAATCTTCATATAATTAATCCCACAATGTCTTTAAAGATATTTTCTGATGTCCTTATCAATATTTTATAGAATTCTGTAAAATATATAATTCGCGTAAAATTGATTGCATATGCAAAGCCGGGTTGGGGGTCAAGTGAAAATCCCCCCCCTTCAGAAATTTATCAATTTTTGTGAATATCATTTTAAGATAATAAAAATATTCCCCTTAGTCCTCCCCACCCTGACCCCCAAATAGGTATGCATATAACTTAAACAATAATTTGAAAGAAAGAATGTAAAAGTTAATATTTTTTTATAAAAATATTTATCATAAGTTATGCATTTTTGGGAAAAAGCATTTATATATTAAAAAATAGTGAACCAAAAATGCTTTTAAGAAATGGAATATAAGATAAGTCTTAAGACAATAGTGAAATGTATCATAATTATTAATCCATTGTTGATTAGTCATTTGAATATTTATTTATTTTTAAAATATATTAACGTTATATCATTTGAATATCTTATATTATTTAAATTGATTGTTTAATATATTCAATTAACTTTGTTTTGATATTTTTTGTATAAATAGATTGTGATAGAAAAAAGAAGTAATTGAATAAAATTTAAATTTATATTATTAAAACCAAATTTGTTTAATCTTATTTCATGGTGCCCCGGTTACGGTGGTACGTTCTTTTCGATAGTCAAATTTTATCCAAATTTTCAAAATCGTAAAAGAAAATTCGTCGTTCGATATTGGAGATGATAAAAGGACAAATAAAATTTTTTGACTTTTCTTTTCGATAGTCAAAATTTTATCCAAATTTACAAAATCGTAAAAGGTTAAAAAAAAAAGAAAAAATAAAAATATATATATATAAATAAAAAGAGTAATATGATAAAAAAAATAGTTTTTTCATCGGAATCTTTGCATTTTACGTTATGATGTTTTGTTTTAAAGCTTATAATATACCTCAGTGCATTATTATTGATAAAATGTTGAAGGAAATGGGAGTATGTAATGAATTCTCTTATGTCCGTGATAATAGAATGAATGAAATTGTCTTTTATTTTAAGTCCTTACGAAAAATGATTGATGCCTATATGTCTCTAAATGGGAAGCCCTATGTTTTTGATGAAAATAATTTCATTTTTATATCTTGTGAAATTACGGAATATTAAAATTTAAATATTAAAATTTAAATATCTTTACGCTTTACATATTTGACATACTATATTTATAGGGTATAGAAAATTTTCCCTATGTTACGTTATTAAATATAAATTTACGCGATGTTTAACCTATAGAATATCAATAAAAATTTTTTAATTCCTTGTGACGAATTAAGTCTAGATATTTATAGATAATTTAAATTAAAACTTAGTGGACTAAATCCTCTTTACGAATTAGAATTATAATTTTTATAGATAAACTATTAAAACTTAGTGGACCATATTCTCTTGATTAAAATTAAAATTTTTAGACAACTTTAATTTGATTTTAATGAACTACAATGTTTTGCTTTTACGATTTTAAATATTGAAAGTTTACTTTACTCAAATAAAATTTTATCATGGACGAAAAATTAACTCTTACACACACTCAATATGTTCCTAAATTTCCCAAGTATATCAGGAAAATTATCTGAGACTTATCTTAACTTAATAGAAGACATACTTTGAAGGACATATTAGAGTCAGACTCGATCTAAAGTTAGGACACTACTATGTAGCTTACCAATTGAGATTGTAGACCAAGTTACGTCGATATGTTCTAAAGCACAGTTAAAAGACTTTAATATTGTTTTTGGTAAATTGAAACTATTAATTCCAAGTGAGGACATTAATGTAAATATAAAGAACTTTAACTTAGCGGTACAAGGTGCCGAGGAGTCCTTCTATACTTTTTATTTTAGAATTTCAAAACTTCATAAAAAATGCGATTTTGATAACGATACAAGAATGATTGAGAAATTAATAACTTGTTCTTTAAATAATAATATCAGAAGGAAGTTAAATAAACATAAGCACGAAGGCTTAGATAAGATGATGAAATTAGGAGTGGAGTTAGATGGCAGCAATATTAAACCAGACGTTAGCGATACAAATTATGTATACAATGATAAAAAATTGGATAAAAATAAAAAAATTTACAATTTAAACATGGATAAAATACCATGCAAAAGTACTTTTAGTAATAATGAGAATAATTCTAATGATTATGAACATAATTATTTTAGAGAAAATAATTTTAATTATAATGGACGTAACACTCGTAAGGAAAATTTTGATTTTAAGAAGAGGAATTATAATGATTTTAGGCCTAATGATAGTGCTAGCCGAAACTATCAAAACAATATTTTTCGAGACAGTGAGGGTAACTCTAGAAATTTTCGTAATAACCAATCTTCGATTAACATTTCAAACTATTACGGAAGAAACTCCATGTGGCACAACAACAATAATGCAAACAATTATGATAGAAACAATGCCTGGCAATACAATAACAATTCAAACAATTATGGTAGAGGTACTTGGCAAAACAATAATTATAATGGGAGGTCTTACAACAATCAAAGAAATCAGAGTCAATATAATAATCGATATGGTTATCAATATCAATCCTACAATAACAACAATAATGGAGAAAATAATACATGGAAAAATTATAATCAAAATATTAATCAAAGAAAACCATTACAATATAATGACGTGAATCAAAGTAACATCAATTGTAACATGAACATTGAAGAGATTGTTGAAAAAAAAAATAACCCTACACAAAATAATAATGGTAGTGATTTTAATATCAACAATTTAACTGAGATTAAACTTAATGATAATGCGTTCATGACTACTTTAAAAGTAAATGATGCTGCTGTTAATATGCAGGTTGATACGGGATCCAAGTTTACAATTATACCTCATGATATGGCTAAACAAATAGGTATTAAAGATCTTAAAAAGTCCACTCTACAACTCACAGCTTATGATGGAAACTTAATCAAGATTATTGGCGTCACTCAAGTTAAAGTAACCTACGAAGGTATCACCAAACACTTGCAAGCCGTGGTCGTTAAATCTAATAAAAATGCGTTATTGGGACGTATGTGGATTAATGCCTTTAGTAATATTTTGAACAAATTTATAGCAAACATTGATACCAACTATGAAGATGAAATAAAGAAATTAATAAATGATTGCGAATCTAAACTGACTAAAAAACCGATCAACAAAGGGAATGTCAAGATATATCTACGTAATGACGCCAAACCGAAAATTATACCACCTAGACGGTTACCTTATTCAAAGATAGACGCTGTTACTAGAGAACTTATGAGATGGATAGGAGATGGAGTCATTGAGCCGGTAACAGATGTCCGCTGGGCAAGTCCGATAACCGCTGTCTACAAGGATAATGGGAGCGTTAGGGTTTGCGCCGACTTCAAAGACACTGTCAACCCAGCCCTTGAGGACTTCAGATACCCACTTCCAAGAATAAACGATCTTATCGCTAAGCTCAAGGAAGGGAAGAAGTTCACCAAGATAGATTTCAAGGATGCGTTCCTACAAATTCCCATCGACGAAACCTGCAGAGACATATTAACTATATCTACACACAGGGGGTACTACCGGTTTACCAGACTTCCTTTTGGGTTAAAGACTTCATCTGCAATTTTTCAACAAATTATGGATCAAATTTTCGGTGACATGAAAGATGTCATATTTTATATTGATGATCTACTAATTACGGGAAGTAGGGACGAAGTTCATTTCAACAACATAAAGAAGGTTTTTGAAAGAATACTATCTCATGGTTTAGTGCCTAATTTTGCAAAAAGCTTATTTTTCAAAAAAAGTCTAAGGTTCTTAGGACACGACATCGACGCCAAGGGGATCCACGCCAACCATGACAAGATCGAGGCGATCGTTAAAATGCCGGAACCAAAATCAGCCGCGGAATTGTCAACGTTTCTAGGTATGGCCGGGTATTACAGAAAATTTTTGAACAACTTCGCTGAAATAGCTGATCCTTTATACAAGATTGTTAACAAAGAAAAATGGGAATGGAATTTGGAACACTCCAAAAGTTTTGATGATCTAAAGACATTGATTAGTGTTCCTCCAGCTTTGATGTACTTTAATCCTGAACTACCTATCGGAATTGCAACTGATGCATCTAAAAGAGGTTTAGGAGCTGTTTTGTTTCACACTGAAAAAGATGGCAAAGAAAAACCGATAGCTTTTGCATCAAGAACTTTAGCAAAATCCGAAACAAACTATACCAATATTGAGCGTGAAGCTCTGGCCATTATGTTTGCTATCAAGAGATTTCAAGAATACTTGATAGGGACTAAGTTCACTATTGTAACGGATCACAAGCCGCTAATCCATATTTTTACCAAAGGGCTCAAAGATATTAGCACCATGTCATTAAGGTTACAGAAGTGGAGTATAATTTTGGGGGGTTACGACTTTAACATCAGATATAAAGCTGGTAAATACAATGTTGTTCCTGATTGCCTCTC